ACTAGAGAACCCAGTGGTGAGCTCTCCTGCCTACTGTTCGCTCGGGTGTATGTGTTTTACAGGTGGAGATGGACGGCAGTTTGCTGAGGCAGGCGTATGCCACAGTGCAGGGGAGTAACCTCCGTCTCGGAACACCAAGACAGATACTGGCCGCTAAAGTGCAATATAATATCAACGCTGATGTCTTGAGGAGAACTCTGGAGGTGACGATGGGGGGTAGGGTAGGTCGGTGATAGTGTTAATCAGGTTGAGGATGGAATTGGGAAAGTTATGGTACATGTGTGCGCGCCACTTACGGCTGATATTGCGAATAGAAATGGTGGATACGTGGTTAGGGTAGGTGAGGTTGCTTCCTCGAGAGGGATAGGTCCTCGCTTTAGGCGGCTTGTGATGAACAAGATGCTACTATAAAGCACGACGATGCTGATCTTGTGAAGGAGTTTGCTTACCGTTGGGGGGGTCTTGAAGATCCTCAGATTAGAATTGATAACGACTTTATTGATTCTTGTCGAAATGTGGTGATGGGCACTAACTCTGCGGTTCACACGCTGGAGCAGGCCTGGGTTGATCATGTGGGTAGAGGGAGTGCATCTACTATGATGGTTGCTAGACGCTATATTAAAGTAAGTTTAACAGGAGGGGGAGTTGACATTGGTGTGGTATGGCTAGGTGCGGCAGCAGACTAGTCAGAGCTTGTCTTGTGATCCAGTAGTGGAGCCTCCGGAGAATGATAATGGAGTATATAGAATATCGTTGAAGTGCCAGTCTGAGAGAGTGATGGTGTCCTGTACAGTAGCTGATGCCGCGGTACTGTTCGCAACGCAGTGGGGAGGGTACTCGAGGAAAGAGGTAGGAAGCTACCTGCATGGTCTGGTCGGCTCTGGAGTAGGGATATGATAGGTTGCTGTGCGCCCACAGCCCGGTGTGTGTACTGCATGTCGAGTTGGAGGAGATGGTGGATGGCAAGTCGCAATGCAAACAATAACGTTAACCCAGTCAGTGCGGTACTTGCATGTGAGATGGGAGTTGGTCGGAAGGGTTATTGTGGAGGAGGTTATGAGTAGGTACAGAGGCAGAGTGAGAGGAGGGTCCTCACTTGTGGAGCATTGAGACAGAATCCGGAGATACGCTTGGATGAATATGTTATACCGATGGAGTGTCGAGATGAGAGGATGCGCGCAGAGGAGAAGGTTAGTAATGTTGTTTACCATGCGGGAGGTCCCGGGTTCGATCTTCGGTGGAGGTGTTTTTATGCATTTTGTTGTTGTTTAGGTTGAGATGGTTTGTGGTTCTGCTACGGCCGCCGTGGAGGTCAGTCGTGGACCATTCTGCGGGAAGGCTGATGCTACTGTAAGAGGTTTTTCCGCATAATCGCTCAGTGCGCGAAGAAATCCGTTTTCGGAATTATTTCCCCAGTACAACATCGCCCATATCGGATCATTAGTTTGGAAGCCTTCAGGTTGTTGTTCAAGAGAAGGTCTGCCGCTCCTGTGAGAGGGTCACTGTGAAGGGTTCTCTTACTCCAATGCAGCTCGGTCGGGCTTCCATCGTTGGAGCCGGTA